TGACATTTCTGCATAACACACTTTTTTGGGGGGTGGTACTTTTGATTTAGGTGAAGCATGAGATTCAACTACTTTATGTATGTTGTTGATTTTTAATTTTAAGTTAAATTAAAAACAACTTCTTACTGAATACAACAGAGTTCAACATACCTGCATCTCCTTTTTAAACAGATGGGGAAACTGGACAACGGCAGCCTCACGGTGAAGTATCCAGTGTGGCCACGTTTCAACTCCTTCGGTGATGCTGAGCTCGATGACAACCACCTGTCCATCGTCACCTTAGAAGAGAAACCATTTGTCATTGTGGAGGATGTAGAGAGACTCACCGGTACCTGCATGAGGAACTCTGTGCCTTGCAGGAAGCATATCAAAGAGTGAGTTTGAAGCTCATAGATCTGACTATAATGCATTAAAGTAGCTAGCTAGCTATCCACAAGAGTAAAGCTCATGTCACCCAATTATTTTTGGGGTGCTAAGGGAAAAACTTGTGAAAAATATACCTTTTTTTACACACACATTAAGATGTTTGATAAATTCTATATCTCTGACTCAGTTGGAGCTGTTTGTCCACTAATGCTTAAACAATATGCTCAATGGACATAGAAATAACAGTGTGCAACTGGATACAGTCTGAAAGATATCTGTCAAACACGACCTGGAACAACTACCATATTTTTTTAGACTATAAGGTACACTTAAAATCCTTTCATTTTCTCAAAAATGGACAGTGAGCCTTATAATCCAGTGCACCTTATGTATTAATTCTGGTTATGCTTACTGACCTCGAACCGATTTTATGTGGTTATTGTGATTGAGCTGAATAAAGTTTGACTTATCTGTTTTGTTTAATACGCTTTATTATCTGGTGCGCCTTATAGGCTGAAAAATACAGTAGTTTTTATCTTGGTTTATTTTTAATTAATTTATTTTAATTACTACACAGTGAGTAATTCTGAATCTACAAGATGGCAGCACCTTCCATTGAGGCTGAGGCTGCTCAGGTTTAATATTTCCTCTCAATATTTACTTCAAACCATTCAGAACTCAAACTCCCCTCACAATTACTCAGACGCACAACAATAGGAACAATCAGCTAAAACGTTGAGCGTGACAAAACTGCAACACTTTTTGTTGTCTTCAGCACTGTTGTTGCGTTTTTCTCTCCTCTCCTTCATGGACAGTGACAGAGGCGCAGCGTTACGCTCACACAGCAGCTTCTTTCCTCTCACAGAAAATGGAGGCGACTGCTGAACTAAGCAGTTTACGTCCTTGTAAAATGTCTCTAATGCCCAAATACCTATGGCTTGTTGCTTGTTTTTGCAGCCCACACACACTGCAAGGCTCTGTCGCTGGCAAGCATGAGGGGTGCTGAATCAAAGTAACTAGATTTTTCCGATATTAAGCTTTTTGAAATGTCACAAAAGTTGTTCTGCCTAATGCACCGCCACTATTTTTCACTCATTACTTGCTTATATTAAAGTAACAACCAAACATACACAAAAAGAGCTGATTAAACAGTCTTTGGGTCTCCAAAAGGGGGCTGAAGGAGATTATCCAGAGTCACTGTGAAGTAGGGCGGAGGATAAAGCATCTCCAAGGAGGAGCACAAACACACATTTACAGGCCTGTATACACTCCCTGTTACCACATGTCCACTCACAGGCCAGTGCGTTCGGCCTCATTCCACCCTCCCACGGCGCAGATTCCCACTCAAGCATCCGTAGTGTCCATTTGGAGGAAGAGGGATGGATTGAGGGGATGAAAGAGGCAGAGAATGAGGAGTGGCGGAGGGGGTTGCAACGGGGTATGGAGGGTATCCATGCATACAGAACCGTAAATTCACTCATCCAGGCTTGGCCTAAGAACAAGCCATACTCACAACAACGTGCGCAATCCTACACGGACCCGCACTGCCTTCTCTGGAGGTCCCTCAGGCCCCGTAGTGTTTGACTTTTTCAAAGTTGGCCTGGCAACTTCACAAACAGCCTCTCAAACATTGCATGCTCTTACTGCCTGAACTCTGGTCTGGCTTTTCTTAATGAGCACACTGTGTTCACCATGACAACTGTGAGCTCTGGCCTATGTCCTTTGGTCTGGTAGGGTTCATAATTAGCTAAAAACATGAGTCAGTGTGTTTGTTTTTTCTTTTCTTGTATAAATAAGATATCAAATCTTCTTAATTAGGTCAAAATAACTCAAAAATATCACAAATATCATGCAAACATGTTATTAGTTATCATGCTTGGTGTGACATTTTAAAGAATACAAGCCACCCAGTGTTTGAGTTGTTTAATTTGAATGTATTTCCTGGCTGTGTATATATCTTATGTGTCTGTAGATCTCATTCACGTCTGTGGACCAGCCAAACTTCAAGCCTCAAAGGATTCAAATATTTTGATGTAGGGTTCTATGGTGAAAATACATTTAATGTCTTGCCTTTTGTAGATACCTTATTAAAAGTCCTAATTTTAGAAAAACTGAGTTTGAATTTTTTAAGATAGACTAGCTTACAGCTAATTCAAACAAAGCCAAGACCAAGGTGGTTAGCTGCCTTATTTAAGCAGCTGTAACTGTAGTTGTGATTTATACAAACACTATATTGAAAACTTTTACTTTGCAGTCAGTTTTGCATGCTTGTACAATCCTCAGCATCCTCCTCATCAGACTGTCATACAACAACAGACTGTCTTCAGTCAGAGGATTCTTCAGATCCGTTGTAAGACAGACCGCTAGAAGAGATCCTTCCTGCCCACAGCCATCAGCATCTAGAACAACTCTTTATTGAAACCAGGATGATGAGTTACAATACCATTTAATTTCCCTCTGGGCTTAATAAAGTGTCTAGGAATTAAATTAAATTGAATTGTTATTCTAGCAGAAATATGATAATCTATCTGGAAGGGCTGCTGATATCTGTGCTTTCCTATAGAATACGATGTAAATGACTAGAGTCAATCAATCAATCACTATAACTTTATTGTCCATAAAATTCCATGAGATGGAGATTAATCTTTGACATCTGGCTCACACATACAAAACAACACAACTTAAAAATGCCATAAACTTTTTAAAAGCTTTTCTAACCCAATAAAGACATTCTAAAATACACAACACATTAAAAACATTCACTAATGTGAATTTGAAAGCTGTAAAAAAGTCAATTAAACTGCAAACAACTACAAAATGGTTGAGCTGTAATTTTTTTAAGACAGTAGCCATCCACTTTTTGTTTGGCCTTACTCAGACAAGATGGTAAATGGACTGTACTTATATAGCACCTTTCTATCTTATCAAGATACTCAAAGTGCTTTACACGCTGTGCCCTCATTTTTCCATTCATGCAGCACTCTACTATTTCTATAAAAAATATTCAGAGCTTTATCACATTCATACACCAGTGGGACACACATCGGAGGCAATGAGGGGTACAGGGTCTTGACACTTCAGCATGTGACTACTGGTGGAATAGAACCCCCAACTCTTGCATTGGAGAATGACTGCTCTAACCACTCAACCACAGCCACCCAAATACCTTGTCTTTTCAGTCAAAATCAGACTTTATTTCTCCATTGTGAAGCTGTTCTTTCTTTAAACTTCATTGGACTACTAGAGTGGTAATTTTAGCCTCTTTTTGGGGGTGCTCAAACACACTTAAATTTTAACTAAGTGCCCTGAAAAAGAAAAAAAAAAAACATCATTAGTATTTTGTAAGGAAACTCAGTTCTCAAACCTTAGATTCACCAAAATATTGAATACATTTGGAATAAATGATGACGCTCTTAAATGGGCCAGTAAAATCGATGTTTTGCACTAGTTGGATTCTCAACACCACCTGTCAATCAATCCAGTTAGCTTGTCAGCAACTGACCAATCAGTGATATCAAGTTGACCCAAACGTAAACGCCCCTTAGGAAGGAGAGCTATAGTCAGGAGAGCTATAGTCAGGAGAGCTGTTAGTCAGGCTATGTCTTGTTATGCTTGTTTATTGTCATATGCAGGTTAACACAAGGTCAACAATGTAATGAAATGTTCAGGATGAGAAGAACCGATTCGACTCTGGAACAACAAAATGCTAAAGCATGCAATAAAAGCACAAAATAAAGTACCAAAAAAAATGAAAAAGAAATAGTAAACAACATCATGGTAGAATATAAATGTGCAAGTAGGATGGATAAATAAATATTTCACAGGTAGTAATATAAGCTTAATTTTAGCTTCTTGTTGTGCCATGCTCTCTAAAATAGTTATTGAATCAAGTGTTTACTTATGTAGATAAGCCTAGATGTTAAACAGCCTGTTAAAATACACCAGAATACAGGAAATGGCATCTACTTTATTCAAAATTTTATGAGGGAGTACCCCAGACACCCCACCCCCACCTCCCGTCCAAGTCCCCCATCCCCTACACACAAACGTTACAAATGCTTCTGACGCTAACGGCCACCATGTCGTTCAAGCCAAGATCAGTCAGCACTGGGGGCTCAAAAACCCTAAAAGTCAGATTCTAGAGTCGCTCCTGGAACAACCTACAAAACAAATACAATTTTTCCAAATTAAAAGAAGCACAGCTCAAATTATTCAACTTCTATCTTTTGTTTGTTTGATTTTCTAACATGGCATTTTTGCAATTGCTTTTAAATTTAAATTTATAACAGTTTCATGATTAACTAATTCACCAGTTGCATTTTACATTTAGTTATCTTTAGAAACTCATTTTAGAAGAGTTGTGAGACTCACTTATTTGCATCAGTATTATTTTTTATAAAAACTGTTCTTTTTAAATTACTAGACCGCCTATCCAATTTGTGTGTACGAAAACTCCAGCAGATATTAAAACCAACAACTTTGTAGTTGAAAGGCAACTGGACTTAACCACTACACAGTGCCTTACTATTAAAAAAAAAGAAAAGTTTGTAAAAAAGCTGTTTGTAAAAAAGAATGATTTTGAAGACATTTTGGTTGAGGAACTAAGTCAAATCATTGACAGATGATTCCCAACTACAGAATTGCTCACAAAGTGAGTTTAATCCCTGGAAAGAAGTAGTCCCAGATTGGTGCGTGGAGTTTTTCTTTATCCTCTCAGTTTTTGTCAAGTTTATGTTCAGGTGTTGTCAAATAAAAGGACGAGATTATCGTCCTCTAATTAGCACACATCTAAAAGTTAAATGAGACTCCCAGGTGGCGGAAAGTTGACGCACGGTGTTTGTGTGAACGGATACTGAACTCTCCTGCTCTTGGGCTCATAAACACAGATGGCACATGGCTTGCAGATGCTGTCAAGTTGTCCTGTAGAGACAGAGGAAATAGAGGCATGTTTTTCCAAATCTTCTGTCATTCCCAGACAGAATGACCCAAACTTCAGGGTGAAAAGACTCAAGGTTATCTTGATGTATTGAAGCTATCAAGTTAGTTTACCGTGCATAATGGGATCGGGAGTTGATGTTTCTTATATACAGCTTTTTGTCACTAGATATTTTTTCCTCTCCGTTTTGTTTTGCTTCTCTTTTCTGTTGCAAGTCCTGAACTAGATATACCAATTTCTAATCTTATTCATGTTTTTTGTCTTTTTGTAGCAACACAACTGAGGCCGGAGGGACATATATCAAAAAGTGTTGCAAAGGTTTTTGCATTGACATTCTGAAGAAAATTGCTAAGTATGTCAAGTTCACCTATGACCTTTACTTGGTTACTAATGGCAAACATGGCAAGAAGATCAACAACGTCTGGAATGGGATGGTGGGAGAGGTAAGGCTAGCTGACATCAAAGTATAGATTACTGTGTCATTTTTTTTTCTTATGTTAAAGAAATGCCTAACCTTTGAAAAACTTAGAACATTTGCAAATACATCCACCTCACAGGTGTAGCATATCAAGATGCTGATTAGACAACATGATTATTGCACAAGTGTGCCTTAGCCTGACCACAATAAAAGATCACTCTAAAATGTGCACTTTTTCTGTATTGAGGTGGTTGGGGGTGGGGTCAGAAAACCAGTCAGTATGTGGTGCGACCACCATTTGCCTCATGCAGTACCACATCTCTGTCACAGAGATTTGATCAGGTTGTTGACTGTGGCCTGTTGAATGTTGGTCCACTCCTCATCAAGGCTGTGTGAAGTTGCTGGATATTGTCAGAAACTGGAACACTCTGTCATATATGTAAATCCAGAGCATCCCAAACATGCTCAGTGGGTGACATGTCCAGTGAGTATTCTGGCCATGCAAGAACTGGGATGTTTTAAAGCTTCCAGGAGGTGTGTACAGATCATTGCAACATTGTACATTATGCTGCAACATGAGGTCATGGTTGTGGATGAAACGCACAACAATGGGACTCAGGATCTCATCACATTTCTGTGCATTCAAAAGTTCATCAATACGGTGCACGTGTTCTTTGGCCATAACATATGCTTGCCCATAGCATAACCCCACAGCCACCATGGACCACTCAATTCACAACACAAATCAGCAAACCACTAACCCGTATGTCTACCATCTGCCCTGCACAGTGAAAACCAGGATTAATCTGTCAAGAGAACATCTCTGCAACGTGCCATATGCCATTGAATGTGAACATTTTCCCACTCAACTTGGTTACGATGACAAACTGCAGTCAGGTGGAGACCCCGATGAGGATGACGGGCATGCAGAAGAGCTTACCTGAGATGGTTTCTGACAGTTTGTGCAGAAATTATTTGGTTATGCAAACAGATTGTTGCAGCAGCTGTCCAGATGGCTGGTCTCAAACAATCTTGGAGGTGAAGATGCTGGATGTGGAGAACCTGGACTGGTGGGGTTACATGTGGTTTATGGTTGTGAGCCCGGCTGGATGCACTGACAAATACTTTGAAATGCCTTTGGAGCCGGTTTATGGTAGAGAAATGAACATTCAACAGCAACAGCTCTGGCGGACATTGCTGCAGTCAGCATGCCAACTGCACGCTCCCTCAAAACTTGCAGCGCTGAGTGATAAAACTACACAATCTGTAGTGGCCTTTTATTTTGGCCAACCTAAGGCACACTTGTGCAAGTTCAAGAATCTTAATTATCCCCAAGGGGCAATTTGTTTCACAGTTAGTAGGCACACAAAACATCCATTCTAGACAAGTCAGTGAGATGTTGAAGTGGTACAGAGATCATCACTGTTCATTGAGAAGCCTGATGACTACAGGGATACATGAGGTTTTCAGTCTGTTCATCCTACATCTGGGCAGCAGATATCTGCATCCAGATGGAAGCAACCTGACCTCACCATGGATCAAGATCTGCCAGAATCAGCCTGGCCTTGTTCACTGACCTTGTCTTGTGTAGGTCAGTGAGGTTCTGTAGGGCTATGCCTACAGTGCAATAATCATGCTGTCTAATCAGCCTTTTCATACACAACACCTGTGAGGTGGACGGATCATCTTGGCAAAAGAGAAGTGCTCACTAACAGATTTACACAAATTAGTGAACAATATTTGAGAGAAAAAGGCATTTAGTGTACATAAAACAAGTATTAGATCTTTGAGTTCAGCTCATGAAAAATGGGAGCAAAAACACAAGTGTTGTGTTAATATTTTTGTTCAGTATATAGTGACCAGTGAGCGAGGGAAGTTTATTTCTGACTGGAGAAGTGAGCTAACAGCAAGTCTAAGTGTAATCCAGACTAAATGGATTATTGTCATTTTTAATCAACTTCAGAAATTTCATGACGGTTCGTACAAATGCTACATTGCAAACGTCTGCATTGCTATCAGTTACAGCTATTGTTACAAACGTATGATTAAATTCATGTCCTTAATAACCCAGGGTGCACCAAAAGTACTACAGTTAGCTGCTCTTGCTGTTATTAATGCTTGCAAATAACCACAGTATTTTTTTTTTTTTTTTGTTATATAATTGCAAAACTGATAGGGGTGTAAAGGTTTTGAAATGATCTTATTAACCTGCCTGGTGTACAATGCGAAACTGAACAGCAAAATACATTTACTGTATCATTACTGTACCATAAAATATATTATTCAATTTGGCTGTACATGTCCTGTGTAAAACTAGTAAAGTTCACAAAAAACTTTATTCAATCTTTTTCATTTTATTTAATCAATATTTCTTCCTTGTTTCCTAATCTCCTCTCTTCATTCCTCCTCATTCGTCTTTGTCCCACACATCTAAAAAGGTGGTTTATAAGAAGGCCGTCATGGCGGTGGGGTCTCTGACCATCAACGAGGAGCGTTCCGAGGTCATCGATTTCTCGGTCCCATTTGTAGAAACTGGGATCAGCGTCATGGTCTCACGCAGCAACGGGACCGTCTCTCCATCAGCTTTCCTTGGTAACTGCAATCAAACAGACAGTTGCTTTGTTGTTGGACTCAGGAAAACAATCTGAAGACGATGGTGTGTTTTGTTTGCTTGTGCTGTTTGAATCAGTGTGGAACATGTGTCTGTGTGTATTTTCTGTCAAATGGATCTGATGGTATTTTATTTTTCATCTTTATTGCCCATGGCCATGAAGTGTTGGTGGTTATGTCTGCGCATTTGTCTGTTAGCTAAATATCTCATGAACTCGCAAATGGATTTTAATTAAACTTTCATAAAATAATCAGTACACGCACGTCCACAACTGTTTATTTTATAGAGTCAACCTGTTTAAAGATGGCTGCCACAGCTAGTCAAACATAGCAAACCTAATAATGGCTATTTCACAGTAATTTTTACAGATTTTGGGATAAAATGTGCTGTTTTATTTGCTGAGAGTCATCCCTAACAAATACTTTGAGCACTTACAGATGACACAAAATATTTGAATAACACTTTGGCATGCAAAGCAGTGGACAATATACATTTCTTAAGGGAAGGCTAGTTTAATTATTGTTTTACTTTCTTTATGCCACAATGACTCTTGCAAACCTGAAAGACTTAAATATGGGACTTCAGCCTAAGAACAAATAATAAAGTCTAAATAATGAGTCTATTTACATCCCAGTTCCATAACACATGGGTTTATAATAAACCAAAACTTTCACTACCATTATAGACATATAGGAACACAGAAGTATGCACACTTGCACGGTTGCCGCATGCAGTTAGTGCTGTGAAAGTGGCAATTATTAGGGCTTAGCAGGAAAGCCCTGTAATGGCAGCTTGCCAGCAGACGCCCCTCACACTCGCTCGCTCAGTGTGCGCTGCCCTGTGCCAGTTGTGCTCCCTCGTACATTAAAGCAGAGTTTAATCTCTGCAGTGTTGTTGGGAGCTCAGAGGGAGGACAGGAGTGCTGACACCAGGGCTTCCTACACTGTACCACGCCTTATATGCAGCCAAATGCCATCTGCTGGGAGGGGGTGGGGGGGCTTCTGTTGAAGCGCTGCGTGTACTAGAGACGACAGCAAGTCGTTGCTTTCCTTCCTTCGTTTGTCTAAAAACATGGATTATTGCTATTAAATTTCAGAAAACCTTACGACAGAGAAAATAAACCAGATATAAAAAGTTGTGATTATTTTTAACAGCACACATGTTGGATGCTAATTTCTGTGCTCCCGATTCTTCCTCTCCCAGAGCCATTCAGCGCGTCAGTGTGGGTGATGATGTTTGTGATGCTCCTGCTGGTGACTGCAATGGCCGTCTTCATGTTTGAGTACATCAGTCCTCTTGGCTTTAACAGAAACCTGGCACAGGGAAAAGGTGAGCACAGGCACAATACAACAAACACCATGCACAAATGTTCAGGTTTTGGGTGCGAGCCCAAAGCAGAAAATGTTTTGACTCTATTCTTGCGTTGCAGGTTTATTCTAAAAAATATATGTTTGAACAGGAGCAGTTTTTATTTATTAGGCGAGACAAAGGTTTGATAATTATGAATTTGAGCAAATGCATTCTCTACAAAATCCTACGTCTTTAAGGTGACATTTAAAGTTCTAAAGGAGATGTGTGCAAACATGATTATTATTATATAAAATACTCCTTCAAAACAAAAATAACTAAAAGAGATTGGCATGTTTTTCATCGACAAAGTCAAAACTAATTAAAATATTTGTTGAATGATTACACTGTTAATGGCATGCGCACAAGCCTTATTTACTCTCTGCCAGTTCCTCTGATGGCACCGCAACAAGTACTTTGACTGTCCAGTGGATGATAGAACAACTAGGCAAGGGATGATTTTGATCATTCGAGAACAAATTCTGGATCCCATCAACTTTTCAGAGCTCTGATGGACCCATCACACAGATGAACCAGAAATTTAGAGTTTCAGATTCCAGGCACTCAAACCAAATGACAATCTAGACTCTTATCAGCAAGAAAAGCAAAAGTTTTTTTTTACACAAGTGACAACAGTAATAATGCATAAAAGTACAGAATATTGAGCTTTTTTTACTTTGTTTGCTGCCTGCACTACAGTATTTTACGCATTGCTCCAGATTTGCAAATGTTTTTCTAAACAAAATATGTAAGAAGACCCCGTACACTTGCACAATTTAAATTTGGGTAAGAGGAACACAACAATGAATAATAAAACATTTGTATACTTAGGATTTCTTAAGATTTAGTTTTTTTTTTTTTTTCCCACTTTTGCTTCATTTATTTAATTGTATTAATATTTTTTGCTGAATTTTATAGTGAATGGCAAAAGGTACATTATCACCACCTGCCAGACTTGAGTATGGTCAGGAGATTTTTATTTTTATTTTTTGTGAAGAAGAATAGCAATATAACAAAAAAATAAATTAATAAAAACCTGCTGCAGTCACACATTTTTGGGACTTGCTGCTCTGTTAAAAAATGAACGTATATTACCAAAAATAAATAAATAAAAGTAAATAAACGAGGTTAAAAAGTTGAAGCATAAAATAAAATAAATCTGCATTTTCTCATTTATTGCCTATAATCTAAATACAAACTATTCCTGGTTTAGAGTTGTACGTTTTATTGAAATATAGTCGACCATATATATATATATATATATATATATATATATATATATATATATATACCTTTTTTAATAAAAATGTTTGTTTCATCTTTTCGCCATCTATCGTTCACATATTTAATGTTTTTTTTTGTTTGTTTGTTTGTTTTTCAGATCCACACGGACCTTCTTTCACTATGGGCAAGGCAGTGTGGCTTCTCTGGGGTCTGGTATTTAACAACTCTGTCCCCGTGCAAAACCCAAAAGGAACCACCAGCAAGTTCATCGTGTCGGTGTGGGCCTTCTTCGCTGTCATCTTCCTGGCCTCCTACACTGCCAATCTGGCTGCCTTCATGATTCAGGAGGAGTTTGTCGACCAAGTTACTGGACTCTCAGACAACAAGGTAAAACCAAGCCAATGGAAGAAGGGTTTTGATTTGCTCGAAAAAAACAAAAATTGCCTAATATTTCATGCGAGTTTGCTCGCTGTGGTGACCCCCGAAGAAGAGAGCAGCCGAATAAAACACCTCCGTTTAGCAACATAATAGCTCAAATAACAAAAACAGCTGCAATTGACTTTTAAGCAGTCTCTAAAATGTCTCAAAAAGTATAGAAGTTCTCAGTGCAGTCGCTCTCAGTTGCATTACTCAAAATTTCTCCTAAAATAATTGTATCAAGCAGCTGGGACCCATCTCAAACCCTGCTTAATTTTGTTTTTATAATTCTTCAGTGCTAAAGCTGTATTTTTGTACCCCTGCAGGGTCAGAAAACATCCCATGCTAAAGTGTATATGTCCAGTTTTAATCACACCAATAATAAATATTATTTTGTGAATAAGAATATGACTAGTCTAGATCTGGTTATCTGTATTTCAAAAATGTACTCTAGTAAATTGAGTCATAATGTGGTGGCAGCTGCCAAGCTGGGAACAAGATGAGCCAAGACAGAGTGGTTGGGAAGGGTGGGATTTGCAAGCAGCGCACACCGTGATTGTTAAAAATTGGCTGCACAAAATGAGCTGCATAGTTTGCTAGTTGTTAGGTCTGACAAAAAAAAAAAAAAGAATTCAATGAGGCTGAAACTGAAAGTTTGTTATTTTCTAGCAATTTTGACTCACCAACTAGTCTTCAACAGTTCCAGTCCAGTGACTGAGAGGTACTGGCTGTAGTCAACGTCCCTGTTTTCCAGGACGTGGCTATCACATCCAATTAAGGGCAACTGGATTTTTGAAAAAGTTTAACTTTTAGAAACTTTCCTAAATCAAACTGAGAATTTTTTTTTTTTTTTTTTAATTTGTAAACTTTTCAGTTTGAACTGTGAAAGTTTCTTGGATGAGATGAGAAAAGTCTAAATACATTCAATTGATTTTACTCCATCATGTCCTTGATGGTTGAGAACCAACATTAGCTTCAAACACTCATATTTTGCTAAACAATTTTTGTTTTCAATACTCAACTATTCAAACAGTAATTTAGGCTCAAGTAGTTTTTTACAAATTGGGCAACACTGTAAACTTTAAAATTCTGAATTTATTTTATTGGTGGGTGATTGAACATTTTGATGTCGTACCCTGCTAAGTGCACACCTTACTTATCTTCTTGTTCATGTGCAAACCACAACAATACTGCTGGTTTTACTGATGTTTCCACATCTTGCTCACTTTTTCTTGATCTTATCATCAAAAGGTTTTGGGTTACGCAGAAAAGACTAATTACTGAGAGGAAAGTGTTGCTATTATTGGTGAACATCTAGCTCAGCAGGTTTTTCCACTTTTTTATAAATTGTTTTATTCACATTCCAAGCTTAACATTTAGCACATCAAGCTACAAACACTATTCTCTGGCAGAGCCAATCAAAATAAAACAGTTCAATAGTGAACATCATTGAACGTCTCGACAAGCTGATATCATCATAAATCTTTTATCTGCAGAGGAATTAAAACAAAAACAAAGGGCAGATATTCCTCATTCAACATATGTCTAGATACTTACAATTGAATGTGTTAACACAACATGAAAGTCAACACGCTATAATGTCAAGCCCAATCAATGGGTTCCACCTTTTCTTAAATAAATAGTTAGATTTAGCTTTGCTGTTATTTTTTCCATAGTATAAGCCCTCACACCTGTGATGGACTTGCGTCCTGACCAGAGTGTACCCCGCCTCTTGCACAGTGATAGCTGGACACTGGCACCAGCGACCCCCGTGACCCAAAAAGGAAGAAGCGGGTTAAGATGTTGGATGGATGGATAAACCCTCACTGTTCTCTCTTACCGTTGACTTACAGTGGAAGGTAGAGATTAATACCAAAATAGGGTAATCATTATTTAGGCACCAGTATAATGATCCCAAGCAGGTACAGTTTCTCTTTACTCAACATATCACTCAGAAACACACCAAGAACAAAGACAAGGGGGTTCCATTCAATATAAATGTGTAGGATATGTGACATTTCTTCCTTAATTCCTTCCCAAAATGTTTTCATCTTTGGGCAGTTCCAAAAAATGTGCATGATCTCCAACTTTTCCACATTGTCTCTAGGACAAGTTTGTTTTAGCCTTACCATATTTATAAATGATACACGGTGTTCTGAAATATCTAATATTCACTTTCCAACTAAATTCTTTCTGCTTTGTCACTATTTTTAACGTGGCTTTAATTTCAACATCATCATCACTTTTCCAAATTTTTCTTTCATCTAAATATGTTTGTGAAACAAAGGAAAAAAAATCCATTTAGAAAATATATTCAAAACATTGAAGTCAGGGCCTGAAAGGAAAAGGTCAAGTGAAATGTGGAAAAGCAGAAAATAGGGCAGGGAGTTTTTGAGGACAGAGATTCGGCTGTAAGAGGAGATACCACCAGGGACAGGGCTGATGTCGAGGGTTTTGACAACAAACAGAAGGCGAGAGGGAAGTAGGGATGGAATGAGAGTTACATCAACTGGCAGGAGAGTGACTGAGGACTAGTAGAAGGCCTAGACGTACATGATGGTACAAGACAACAAGCAGACAGATATGGACCGGGCTGACAACTGAGGTAAGGGTTGAAACAGGAAGAGGTGGGAGAAAGTAAGATAAGAAAAGACAAGGAGGCACAGGGAAGAAATGGAGCAAACAAAAAAGGTAAACAGAATCTGGAAGGTTGTCACTGTAATATGTATTTTAGTTATTTTTATTTTAAAGTAGTAACATGAGAGCCCTGAAAATCCTTATTTCACAGATAGACCAACAAACATGCAAACATTCAACCACGCATCCAAGATAGAAGTCCTAGATTTCTATTTTGTATGATCGTTTTAGTCTTTAAAGCTTAAGTTATTGTCATTTGTTATCGCTCTTTTGAGCTCGTTTAATGATTTAACTACGGTACTTTCAGGTCTGTAAGATGCTACTTTTTTCACAGGATTTGAACCTCGAGGTTTATACTACGACGGAGCTTTAGGGCCATGCTAAAAAAAAAATTAATAAATTACATTGCCACGCTAAGAAAACATAAAATAAAAGACATACAATTACGAGAATAAACCTGTAGAATTACAAGAATAAAGTTGTATGAGACTTTTTTTTTTTTACAGCTGCCGTTAATTTTTATTTTCCACGAGTTGGACATTTTGAGTAAGAGCGTCAATAACAATAAATTTAACAAACATTCTTCATTTTACCACAGTTAAAATGTAGTAAACCCTGCTTTATTGTGTCGGAGTTCTGATAATATTGCGACTCATTTAGCTTCGGATTGGTCATTTGTTGACATGCCTACAGGACTGATTGACAGGTCGCATCGTGGATCTGACTCATGGGGGGGAAAAATAACAACAGCTGTAAAAAAAAGTATTTAGTTTTAAAATGTATTCTCGTAATAAGACTTTATTCGACTTTATTCTCGTAATTCTACGACTTTATTCTCGTAATTCTACGACTTTATTCTCACCATTTTATGGCTTTTTTTTCCTTAGCGTAGCAATGTAATTTTTTTTATTTTTTTTGGCGTGGCCCTAAAGCTCGTATTATACAATGCTGTGGCTAATTTATGGATTTTTTTAATTTATTTTTTTGACAGACTAATGAGCTTCCTGCTGCCAAAAACATTTAGCCTTATCACACCTGGTCACTCACATAGCTGCCCAATACACTCTCTCTTGAGGGGTGGGTCCTCATGACTTTATTTTACTGTTTAATACATACAGAGTGGAGGGGAAGGGGGGGATTCCCCCACTGTCAAGAACTTGGGGGATTCCCCTCCTCCTCTTCTCTCCTCCTCTCCATATTTCATTGGTTGGACTGTGACCTGTTCGGTAATTTCATTGGTCAGATTTTTTTAACCGTTATTTATACAGGTAGCCTCATCAATACACATCTCTCTTGGGGGGTGGGTCCTCATGGCTCAATGAGACAACCTCATTGGTTCATTGTGGTGGACTGTGAGTCACATGGCCTCAGGGAGGAGTTATGGCTCAAATGAATGTTTATTGTTAATCATTTCGGTTAGATATTTAGCATTGTTCTTTTATTGATTAGCCTAGTTTATGTATTCATTATGTGTTAGACCATTTAGTAGAGTAACAATGAGTGAGAGAGAGTTATCTTGAAGATGTGTGTGATTCACTCTGTCTGTGTTAAAAAGAAAAATAGTCTGTGAAACACCATCTAATGGTTGCTTTTTGATCTATAACAAGAGCTGCACATTTCTCTCAGAAGTTGTGCGCTGCCACTCATTACAACGTGAACACCCACCCACGGCTTATATACGTACATATTTTTGTTTAGTTTCTAATTTAGTGTTCTCGACTTATATTCAGGTGCACTCTATAGTCCAGCAGTTACGGTACTCCAGAAGAGTCTAATAGATCGTTTGAGTTTTAGCATTATGTATATTTCTTACTTTTATTTTCATATGTTGCTCAACAGCATGACACAATATCAGATTTTAAATTAAACTACCAACTTTTGTCACATCTGCATTCATATAAAAGAGATCTGAGACACATCCCTCACAGACGACGGCTTTCATGTTCTCGTGTGCAGCAGCAACAAAAACAAAAACAGCACATTTGTTTCGTCTGGACCGATGATATTTCCCTCCCATTTCCACCGACCCTGGACACAGAAAGTGCTCTCCTCGTTCTGCTTCAGTGTGCGGGTGTGTAACCTATGCAGTGCAATTATGATTGCAGTTGCTTTTTAAATGTGTTTCTTGGTAATTATTCAGCAGGAGAAAAAGTACTTTTCCAATCTGAGTTTCCACCAGTGGATGTGAAAATTTTAGGAAGCCCACTTATCGTGTTTGCCCCCTCGTGACCCTTAAAGCATCTGCTCAGCCAGTGGACATGCAAAAAAGAAGGAAGGAAGAAGCATGAGAACAAAATAATACTGAGACTACTGTGGAGAGAGCGTGTTTCTGAGGGCCGTTAACTTGTCCTGACAAACGCACTTCATGGCATCACCACTAACGTATGCGTGCACACACAACCCACACTCAATCCTTCCTGTTCTTACAATGGAAATGCACTTATAGATGAGCAAATATAAAATGTATACATCCTATAATTATTCACACATACAAAGATACATTTAAGATGTGAGTGGGTCATCTAAACTTTGCAAGTTCTGGCAAACAAAGTGGTTATTAGAATCACAACAGAACACAAAGGTGAATAAAATGAAATTCTTGCTGTGCTGACTAGATGTTTATTCAGTTCTGCTCTATGAGTAAAAACAAAGGAAGCAAAGATATTTTAAATGCCATACAGAGACAAACAATATACTAAACACTGAACATGTATAGGACAGGCTGGGTGGTGTGAGTAGAGCTCATTTTGACTGTAATGGACAGTAGTTTTCTGTGTCTGTCACAGAGGGTACAGTTTTACCACCGTAGCTGGCACACTTCCACAAAACTCGTCATTTGTGCTGATACACTGTACCCAGGACAGAATAGTGGTAAGGAAGGGAATTTACAAAGCTACTAAATGTAGAACCTGGAACCAAGTATTATTTCATAATGTAGACCACATGGCATCTAAAAATAACTTTTTTATGCCCCTCCCCTCAAAAAATGTTATAAGTTACATAATGCATTTTCTTATGCCCGCCTCACACAGACGGTCACTGTGGTTATTTCTTCACTCAGGACTGACCTTTTATACAGCTAAAAATATCTGATGTCGGTTCAGCCATCCATTTTAGAGGGCGTACACGTTCATTAGACTAGAAATTATGGGAAATTATCCAATCCACTTTTTGATTCAGACAAGTTCTTTGCACAAAACCCAGACGTTTATTATTTTACTATATATATATATATATATATATGCTTTGGCTTTGATACTGCAGTTCTTATTGCAGTGGATGGTGTCCACATTTTAGAACTTTAAGCCATATTCATATTAAACAACTGTATATGGTATTACTGTCTTATAAGGTTTGTAACGTTGTCTTAGAACTGCATGTAATTAGGGTCATTTTGTGTGTGTGTGTGTGTGTGTTTATATACTTTATATACATTCTAACAATAGGTTTAAAGATGCAGCATACAAGTGACATTTTATTATTGCTATCTCATAAAGGAACAAAAGGGTTTAGACAACAAATAAATTAATAACGGATCAAACAAAAGGTTCTTAACATTACGTAACCAAAAGTTCACTTTTATTTTTATAGAAATTGGCCTACCAGCATTATGGACTTTTCCCTATAGACTGAAAACTTTTCAGCTGAAGACCCGATTAGAAGAAGTCCTTGTAACATATTTTAAAGTGAGGCAGGTGTTGTAATTCTGCCATCTTTGTGAATCATGGTGCATAGCCTCTCCAGTTTTAGTGTCATCCTAAGTCTGCTGCACTATCGAGTAATAAAAGAAGCAACATGTTTTGATTTGATTTGATGGAAATAATAAATAATGTTTCTGACATTAAATACACTTTTAGTTTTTTTTACTAAGTCGTAAAACAAGTCATATGAGTTGATAATGGAGTGAGCAAGTCGTGTTGTCGACATATAGACTGAGACTATATGACCATACCTGAAATTGTACTTTTTTTTTAAATTATTTTTAAACAATAGATGTCACAACAGAAAAAAAAAATGCTAATGTACAGCAGATTTGGCAGCAGAAGAAGTGTTTACATGTTGTTTGCACTTTACACAAACACGTAATTACAGATTTAACCAATTTATTTTCAGCCAGGATTAAATGAACAGACAAATATATGTTTTCTTTCACAATAATGTTTTTTTTCTCATAATTATTAAAATGAATACTTTGTTGTCATCAGGCTCCTGTCTACCCCAGCACACATCATAATGACAGCATTCTTGCAGATGTCGACTGATCCAGGAAACTATAGTTCCTCAGGTGGTCAGTAATAAGAACAATTAAGGAAAAATGGCAATCTCAGAATGTTTAGGCTGTAAAATATTTTTGAACTGAATCCACCACTACTGTTTTACTCTGTTGTTTGTTATTTTTAAATCCCCTTTATTGTTTTACTCCACCACAGTTTCAGAACCCGTACGCATACTCTCCTCCATTTCGCTTTGGGACAGTACCAAATGGTTCTACAGAGAGAAATATCAAGAAGAACTACCCTGCCATGCACCAGTACATGGTGAAGTATCATCAAACTGGAGTTGTGGATGCACTTGTCAGCCTTAAATCAGGGTAAGGAGACACTGTATCTAGATGTTGGCAAGCTTTTAAGGGCACTTTTACACCAGTCATAAAAGTTTAAAGATTCTCCTCTGGAGGCTTAGTTAGTCAATCAGTGCAATGATGTTCAGCTTTGTGGGTTATTTTGTATGCGTGTGATTGTACGTTTTGCACGTGTAAAAATGTGTGTGTGTGTGTGTGTGTGTGACCGATCCTCAGAGATTGGGGATGAATGGGCTTTCTCACTAAGAAGAGCAGAAGCTATTTTTAGTTTCCATTGTGGGGGTGATGTGTGTTTGTGCATGTGTGCAGGTGTGTATGAGAAATAGGTGGCATGGTTGTTTGCACAAGACTAGCCAAGGACAACTTGAAGGGTTGGATCAATTTGAGATGACTTGGGTGGATGGAAAATTGAAGAGGGAAATGATCAAATCAAAAGAAAGGAGGAGAGGAACTATCATATGCACAAAAATAAGCACGGGTAAGATGCTAAGGAGGAAAAGGCCTCATTAAACGAAATAAAAGAGGGATTAAAGGGTGCAACAAACGGCCGAAGAGATAAGTGAGGAAAGTCATAATAGAATGGAGAAAGGAAGGGCATCGGAAACAAAGACCAAGTGTGGAGAGGCCAAAGAAAGAGGTAGATGAAGGGAATAAAAAGGGAACAAGGAAAAAGGTCATCAAGGAATAAAACAGAAATAGGAGGGGAGTGAGCAAATGGAAAAGTCAGAGGACAAAAGGTGGGTGAAATGCTAATACAAGAGGATACTTTGGACTGGTTAATGACATTGGGGTTTGATCTTATAAAATGTCCTCACTCAAAGGACATGCTACAGGGATCAAAGAGAAAAAATGAAATACAAAATGTACAGTAGCTGTACATAATTCATAGTCCTTGGGTTTTAAGCAGTTCAGTTTTTCAGCTCATCATTTCTAAGACATGGTAAAAGAAAGCCTGAAGGATCTGCTTTATACTCCATATGTCTGTGCTTTTGTAACAGCATGCTGTGTTCATAAAAATAGATGTACTGAAGTAGACTGTAAGCATTTCTGGAAAATATTTAGTAATGCATATAAAAATACATTCTTGTCTATAGTACTGTGCAAATATTTGCATCGTCCCTAATTTCTTCATACTAAAATTCCAAGTGCCTGTCCATTTTCTTCAGCTTATGTAAAGTCATGTTGTGAAGGACACAGGTCCACAGCAACATTCTCCAGCTCCTCCTGGAAACCTATAATCCCTCCTGTGATTTCTGAGTATCTCTTTAAATCAATCAGAGACTGACAGGGAGTGGGACAAGTTCAACAAATCCTCTTGAAGAGGGGGGCAGCAAGCATCCTAATAGACACCTGGGCATCTCAGCTGATTCCCATCAATTCCCACCTGGCTGAGCCCAGCCACCCTTCAGAAGAAGCTTATTTCAAACATTTGTGTCTTAAATCTTGTGCTTTTGATCATGGTCCACATCTCATAATCACTGATGAACGTCAGAACATAGATAAACCAATAAATTAACCATCCTGTTGCCCTTAGATCAAAATGACTCACAGGGCCAAACAAAAGCTTTGTGAGTCATTTTGACCTTAGGAAAGCTGAAAGCTTAAGAGCTTCACTTTTCTGCTAAGCTCCTTTTTTATCACAATACATTGGAACAATGAAAGCCCCTTCCTTTCTTTGTCCTGTTTACCAACGCTCAAAAAAATAATGCTTGACCCCTTCTAATATTAATAAATAAATAAATAAAGTGCTATGTGTTGTCATCATTGTATGTTCTCATACAATGACGAAATTAGTTCTCTGCATTTAACCCGTCGCACCTGGGATACACCCAGGTGGAGCAGTGGGCAGCTATGTAAGCAGCCGGGGAACAATTCGGGATTGGGTGTCCTGCTCAGAAACACCACGAGATGTGCAATGGCCGGGGATGAAACCCAGGACCTTCAGGTCCCGAGTCGGCTGCCCTGCCCCTACACCATTCCACTTGAAGCTGATACTCCCAAACTGGAGTGAAGTTGTCCACATTTATTCATTTGAAAACCATGACTGCAGACCCATGACCACCTTAACTAATGGAAATATTTAGGCCATCATTCAGCATTATGCACAGGGGTGCAAATAACTTTTTTACTGGGCTCCTCAAGCGAGTACCAGGAGATAGTGTTTGATACTCACTTCATATGCAGCTTTGTCTTAATGAGTGCCACCTTCCTCATTGTCCTCCTCAGTGTCACTCCCATTATCCTGTGTGTCACAGCTTCCTGCATGGTAGATGCTGCAGATCCTGCAGATGTACCTCCTTGTCCTTGGTATTTTTTTTTTCCACTTTCATTATTTTATATAACCCCCTATTTTGTGAAATGTAGTTAGCCTGTACCCGTCACGAGTTTGTATTTTTATATTGTTGCATTGTCCTGTTTTGTATTGTTAATGAAGTTCTAGAAAAAAACTGATGGGCTGCATGTAACTGCGGGGAAGGGGTGTTTACCTTCAGGACAAATTGAGGTCATCGATTGGTCAGTTGCTAACATGCCTACAGAACTGAGTGGCAGGTTGTGTTGCTCTGTCGTATGTTGCAGATCCGACTCGTGCAAAAAAGAAAATGCTGCCGGCCCTGGGTGGAGGCTGGATGGCCCAGGAGCAGTGGTAGCATTGTTGAGTTTTGATGTTGTTAATAAAAATGTTCTTAAAAAAACAGGGGGCACCGGCCACACATCAGACCAGCCCACCGGGAATTATTCCAATCCTCCTGATTAGCCACTCGGGGCCTGGGTGTTGATAACTTGACGGCCAAGTACTAGGCGTGTGGTAACACAGGTGATGCTATGCGTTCCAGATTTTTGTTGCAGATGCGGACCGGCATACCAGTTATGTGCACCCCTGATTATAAATCAACTTTAGGAACATGAAATTTAACCTATTTCTGACTTTTTACATTGTTTTAGAATATGCGTCATTACTGGAATAAAACCTTTCCAGTGGTTTCTTCCATGTTTACTAAAATGAAAAATGTCTAGTATAAAAAAAAATGCACAAAAGTTACCTGAAAATAAGAGGTAGTTGTGCACGATTAAAGGTGACGTTCAAATGTTTAGCAGTAAAAGCAATATCTTCTACTAAACCTTTTACACTAATACAAAAAATATAATGTCTGGTGATTGTGACCATCTAGTGTCCGTAGACATGCACAGACAAACCAGCGCACAGACTCATCTGACTAAAAATACACTCTTGTCAATATCTACTCAAGGGTTGTCCATGTTAGGACACACAGTTTGCGTGTGGATGGACCAGTGGTGGGTTAATCTAATTACACAGCTAAACTATCGACTGTGAGCCTCTGTCGGAGGGCTGGATCTGACATTCAGTAAATGCCAGACAGTCACCAGACTATTAGCGGGCTCTGAATGTTTGAGTGTGGTCTTTGTGCTTGAACATAATATGCAGCCACTGAGATAGGGAAAGACCAGTGCCTAGTGACAATATCAGTTACAATGAAAATGTCAGTCTAAAGGTTTTTGTTGTTGTTGTTGTTGCTTTGACTTGTTTACGAGTGTGTATGAACAGAGGCTTAAAGAAGGAAAGTCCATGTAGATGTTTGTATTGGTCTAAACTTTGTTTTGGTTGCCAATGTCCCTCTGACGTCCTATCAAAGTGTGTTGTATTGACCCACCGCCATCCCCCCGTGTCCTTTGTGTGTGGTTTTGTTCAGACTGCAGTTCTACTGGGGATGATTTAACACCACACAATTGATCTGCAACTGACAAATTCTTGACATGTAATCCCCGACTTTTGCTTTCTGTCTTCTCTCTCCTGTGCACTTCTAACTCAGTCTTTATAAAGACTGCAAAAACTCTTCTAAATCCCTCTACTTTATTCTTTTCTGTCTTCTATTGCAGCAAGCTGGATGCCTTCATCTATGATGCAGCAGTGTTAAACTACATGGCTGGCAGGGATGAGGGATGCAAGCTGGTCACCATCGGCAGCGGGTAACTAAAGCTTCAATTTGTCAATTAAAAACCATTGATATAGAAAGGGTTGCACTGCTCAGGCTCAGATATGGAGTAATTAATTTTTGGAATAGTGATGCATGTCATCACAGTTGTCATTTTGAGTGACCAAAATCAGTCTGAAAACAAAGTGATAGCAGCCAGACATCAAATCCCCTATTACAAAAGTTTTGTGACTCTACATGATCAGAGACAACATTGACAGATAATTCTATTTGCAAAACTGGTTAGTAGAATACTTTGATTTGTAGAAGGTAGCAGTTTTTTTTATTTTCTTTCCGTGCTCCTAAAGTAGTATAACATAAATCAATATGCCACATAATGATCATTCTATGTATTGACTGCCATGGTGAATGGTGGTGGGCAATGACGTAAATGCCCGTGCCTGTCTGTGAGTGTAATCTATGCGTGCGCATGTTTTGTTTGTCTGTTTGCAGCACACCTCACAAATCACTGGGTGGACTTTAATGAAACTCTGAAAGCAAAAATGAGATGTACATTTAAAACTGAATGACTTTGAAGTCGCTTCAGTTTAGTATGGCTGCCACAGTTAAACAACAGCGAACAGAAATGGATAACTCATTCTGTTTTACAGAAATTCAGCTCAATTTTGGGGTGGCATTTGCTTAAAGTCATGCCCAACATGTTCTATGAGCAGTAACAGTTTAAATGAGATCTTTATTTGAAACTTTGCCAAAACGTCCCACTCAATTTTAATGCATTTATTCGAAAGTGAAATTTAGATATATTTACTGTATATCTACATCCAAATTGCCAAGATGGCCACTACAGCTTAGCATCTTAGCAAACACAAAAATGGCTCTAAAACAGTCAACTGTATAGATATAGAACTAAAATTAAGTGCCTTTGCAGCTGAGAGTCATCCCCAACACATAATCTGAACACTTTGTGTAAAACTCGAGCATGCAAAGCCAGACAATATGCATTCCTTCCAGAAATGCAGTTTTAATTAAAGTGGTCTTTTTTGCTTCTTTGTGTTGATTTATATGCTTACCTAAAATACTTTTTTTAAATACTGTATAGGGATACAGTTTTGAAAATAAACCACATTTTTTAATTGTGTGTTTGTGTATTTAATGCAGGTACATATTTGCAACCACTGGTTATGGCATTGCTCTGCAAAAAGGTTCCTATTGGAAGCGGCAGGTGGATCTTGCCATCCTAGCAATCATCGGAGATGGTAAGATTTACACGCCCACTTGTATGCTGAGAGGATAACACTATTTGCAGTTTATTTTAGATGACAGTTCAACGATGTGGCAGCAACGATGAACTCCTTCTTTTACCTGCTTCTGGTCATTCATAAATCCCTAGTTCTGCCAGCCATAGCCCTCAACAGTGTGAGTGTATTATAAATTGACCAGCATTGTGGAACAACAGGAAGTGCGGCGTATAACTCAGCATTGTTGACATGCAGTGCAACGTATCAAATGCGTGTTGGACCCCTCCTATTTTTAATCCTGCAGTTTGGAGGTTGCACAAAGACTCTGTTTATATCATGTTTGACTAGACTTTCTCTTTTATATAGCAATCATTCTGACTCTGCCACTACTTTGCTTGGCAGTTCAGAGGCATGACAACAGCAAGGTGACTTTAACCCTTAATGGTGCCTCGGTTCTATAATGAGTTATACGAATACAGCAAACAAGTCTCTCAGGAGCGGTTTGAAGTTTTTTTTTAAAGGGGCCCTTTGTTGTAGTATAAGTTGCAGTTTCCTGAAGGATCCATAAACAAGCTCAAACCCATTATCATAGAATGTGCAAGCGCACAAATACAGTATACAGAATAGCAAGTGACCATCAGGTTGCTAACAATCCATTGCTAGGCTGATAGTCCCCCTTGATCATGTGAACAGCTAGTTATGAATGTCAACAACAAAGTGGTTGATTCACTATGAGAAAGTGTTATTTATAAGACTGAGTTGAATGCAGCTCCTTAGACTGAAAAAGTCTTTTGGATGAAACACGAAACGTTTCTGCTTTATTTTGTTTGTTTTTTGAACCCGTCCAGAGGGTCTGACTTGTTATTTTTTTATTTTTCTACCTGAACTATTGAGCATGCATCAGTATACACAAATACAGTATTTTTCCACATTTGTGTGTGCCAAAAGCAAACTTTTAAAGGTTGTTTGGTGTTTTATTTGTTACAAAAGCTTCTCTAAACATAGCACTAATGTCATTCACTCTCTGCAAAACCACACATGCATATATTGTATGTGTGTTTGTCTGCATTACATCTGATTCATAACTTTCCTTTTTTGCAGTAGCCTCTGAGGTTTTCACATGAGCAGTTTCCTAGTGTAAAACAAAGAGAGACAGCTAAAGCGTTTATAGACAGATTCATTTACATTTTATAACAGAATCATTTTGCCTAGTGATCGTCCACAGCCACTAGCATTAAATGTGTTAAAATGGATTAAATGAACAGTGGATCTCATCTAATCTTATCAGGGGCTTCAGAGCATGAAGGCTACACCATGTGGATAATTCAGAAAGAAATTAGCTTCCCTGTTTTTGTTTTGTATGTGAACCCCCTTTTAATAATCACATTCAATACCTTCTTGCTTTTCAAGCAGTTTCATTCTGATCCAGTATTTGTCAGAAATCTTTTGAATTCGTATCACACCGAAGACTTCAATGCTGCTCAACTTGTAAACAAAGATAAAAGCCACCAAGATAGGGATAAATAGAAGAAAAACGAAGCAGATTGAGAGGACAAATTTGATAAAGTGAAGGTGAAAAAATGATTATACCATCAGGAAAGTGACAGTTTGTGTAGGATGGCCAAAGATAGGGACAAAAAAAAACAGTAAGAGAAAAGAGAAGAACAAGAGGAGGGCAGGTTTTTGATAAATGACACACTTTCTGTATTTTGGCAGATGCTACTTGATCAGATAGACACAGTACATGAGGCAAGCATGGCATTTTATGAACGACAATGAGGTGGAGAGAAGTCCATCATAATTTTTAAAAGACAGTTATTCCTCCTACCTGAGATCTAATCTAAGACTGAATAAATAATTGGAAAAATAACACATCCTGTTCTCTCACCTGTAGACACAGTACAGAAATATACTAGATGTGTGCTCTTGCCAATGCGTAATGCAAAGCTGCAGCAAGAATCTGAACAAATATTAATAAGCGCTGCTAGAGATCCAAGTTAGATTTGCCAAATGTAAATATCAGCTATTAACAGTTTGTGCATCATCTCATATGAGGTATACGAAAAATAGATAGAAATTACCCTCAAACTTATTTACTTTGTCTAGGTTTGTCTTGAACCTAATTATAATACACCAGTGTTGTAGTATTTCTCTTGGCTGCTCCGTTCTGCTGGAGTCCCCACAGTGAGTGAACTTGCATGAAAGATTTGGCTATTGTTTTAGGCCGTATGTCCTTCCTGACGCAAGCTGGACTAAAACCCACAACCTGAGAATTAGAAGACTGAGGTGCTGACAACTGAGATAAAGTAGTTCTGTAATTATAATTAAACATTAACAAAGATCATTGTATTTTTTTTTTTATTTCCACAAATTATTTTGTTTGATTTCACACCTAAAATCTTCTAACTAAATAAATGTGAGAGTTTATGCTTATAAATCCAGGTTTAAGTGTTTTTTTGTTTGTTTTTGTGTTCTAACTATGGTATTCAGACTGGACTGGATTGACAAGCTAATGGCTAGTCTGAGCATTTTGCTTGAGTTTGTATTGAAACGATCCAACTTACCTTAACTTAAAGACAAATAAATAAATAAATTTGATGTCAGAAACAGTTTGACATTACATGGTTGTGTACATAGCATTCTATAGTTCTTTGCAAACACAAATACTAACAACTAGCTTCAGCATCTCTGGTGCAGTCTGTGTGCTTCCAGCAGAAATACCACAATTTAGTAGTACCTCGTTTATTGCGGGGTATCCATACTTGCATTACTATTCCTACTTTGCGGTTTTTCACTTATCGCGGGGCTTCAGGGTACAAATCCTCGTGAGAAATGAGGGACTGCTGTATCAGATAACCTCTGCCACTCAAGTTGCAGAGGTAAAGTAAGAAAGACAACCTCCTTGACTGTGCTTCAAATCTTAACATTAGTATTAGCTTTGATTTTTAATCTTTTTTTCACTGTAAATCAAACCAAACTCATTTTAAATGCTGCACCTGGGTGTTTCTTAAGATTTTAGACTTTCCCTTCATAAATCATTTGTCCAAAATGTTTACCAAAAAATCTCCTACTTGTCTTATAAATGAGTGATTGTGCAGATGATAAATCACCTGCATCATGAAGGACCACACTCACCCAAAACACACACTTTTTGCCCCACTCCCCTCAGGCAGATGGTTGTGGAGCATTAAGTGTAGAACCACTAGACTGAGGAACAGCTT